TGAAGTGGATAATGAGAATATTCAAGAATTGATAAACATTTCTCTCGTACATATTCAACAAGTTCATCAAATGACCAATGAGGATCAATATGAATACGATATGGTAGTGTCGAGACGAACATTCCCATTAGATTCTGCAGTTCAGTTTTGTGTCGATTAGCATTAAGACAAGAAATACACAAATCATTTTCACTATGAGTTAACTTGAAAAGAAAAATGTATAATATAGTTAGGCCTAATTGAAATGGTGTCACGTGATGTATAGAAGCATAATCAAGAAATAATTGTGAAATTTCATTGTCAAAAGAGATTTGAGTGACAGAAGCAGAACTCGATCGCTGATCATTAAACAAACGATGTCGATCAACTGGTAATGATAATTGAGATTCCGAATTGTATCCTTCTAATTGTGAATACCAAAATACACGAGATGTTGTCATATCAATTAGACGCTCGTGTATACTATAATCAATATATTGCAATGATTCATCACCATCTTCTATTGATGTTGCATTAGTATTATAAGCGAAACATAGATCATTGAAAAAGATCGGAAAACTTGCTCGATCAAATGCTGCATGGTGAAAAGCAATGAGGAGAACATCAGAATTAGTTATGAACTCATTGCGATAATTTTCATTTTCATTTAATGATAGTTGATGTTTCAGAATTTCAGCATGAAAAACACGGGCAGTCGATAAATCGAAGAGAGTAGGATCAATAGTTGTTCGATAAATAATATCTCGAAGTTTATTTTCATTTTCAAATGTTTGATTCATAGTTATTGTAAATGTTTTATGTATATCTGTGATGCATTGTTTCAAACTACTATTATCATTGTTAAACATAAGAGATGTCCGTAATATTTTATGTATATTCAAAACATATTGAAATGCTTGTAATAAACGATTGAATGATAATGATCCTTGAACAACTTGTAAAGTAAACAATTCATTGTAGATAGCAATATCACTCGAAAAACGGACTTGTGCATCGAGAAAGATACGTTCTTGAGCAAAAGAGGCAATACCTATGAATTAAATAATAGAAACTATTTCAATAATTTTCTAGTAAATATTTTTACCTTCATTTATATGTAACGTGTACCATTGTGTTGCCTTGATATTATTCATTATAACTGTTTGAAGTAATTGTGAATGTTGAAATATAGTTGATTGCTGAAGAAATGGAGCAATCGAAAGTGTATGAGCATCGAAGTTAAATACCGACTGATAACGGTGATAAAGTTCAATAAATAACAGTGAATGGCCACCAACACTGAAAAAACTCGTAGTTCTAGAAATGTGATTTTCATTAGAATGAAGAACTTGACACCAAATAGTGTGAATACGTTCTTCGAATGAATTAAGAGGAGTATCAGATTTATCAGAAGATGTCAAAGTCGATAGTGAAACGCCGGGTGAAGGAAGTTGTTTTCTGTCTATTTTTCCATTTGGATTCAAAAGTAGTTTATCAAGAATGATAAACATTGATGGAATCATATGTGGTGGAAGATGAGATTGACAATGTTCACGTAGTTGTTCTTCATTGATATGAGAAGATTGAACATACGCAACTAGATGGTCATCTTTCCATTTCATGACAACACAAGCAGAGATGGATGTAATGTTTAGTAAACATCGTTCGATCTCACCAAGTTCAATACGCTGTCCATGTAATTTGATTTGATGATCTTTTCTTCCTTGATAATGAAGAAGACCATTGTTGTCCATTGTAACAAGATCACCTGTTCGATAAAATAGTTGACCATCTATTTCAACAACAGCTTTTGCAGTTAAATCATCACGTCCAAGATAACCAGCAAAGACGCCTGCACCTCCCACTAGTATTTCACCTGCTTGGTTGATAGACACACTTTGTGACAATTGATCTAAAATTAGATTCTGGTAATTTGAAAGAGGCCTGCCTATTGGAAAGCTTTTAGTCTCCATTGTGTTATCGAAATGATGAAACGTGCAATCAATTGTTGTTTCAGCTGGACCATACATGTTCCATAGTCGACAAGTGTGCGTTACAGTTTTTGACATTAGATTTATTAGTTGTATAGAACAAGGCTCACCTAGAGATGAAATCGTATAATATCAAAAATAATACATTTCATATAAATATCACATACCACCGCTACAAACTGATCGCAAGTATTGCGCAACATTATGATGATTTTGTTGTTGTAGAAAAGTGAAGAAATTATGAATTATAGTTGGAACAGTAGTAATACAAGTAATATTCTTGTCTTTGAAAACACTAGCAAGGTACTCAAAGTCCATGATTCCTCTTGGATGTAGCATAATTAGATTACTTCCAATCATAAAACTACCCAATATATCTTGGACATGAACATCAAAAGAACAACGTGCTATTTGAAGAATTGTATCCCTTTCATTCACTACATCACCATAAACTAACGAACACATAAATCCAGTGAAGTTCTTGTGCTGGACTTGAACCTATAAGAAAGCAGAAGAATCATTCAAATACTAAATAGCTAAACTTGAACAAACCGCTTTAGGTTTTCCGGTCGAACCACTTGTGAAAATAATATAAGCAATGTCATTGAGTGTAACTCTTATAATTGATAATTGATCAATATCAATATTCTTTTCTAGATCATAAACAGTCAATATTGAATCAATATTAGATAAGACGATATTGTGGTCGAATTTGATCTTAGTTAAATTATGAACAAGAACAAGACGACTTTGTGTTTGTTCTATAAGTGTATGTAAACGATGTTGTGGATCTCGAGGTGATAATGGACAATAAACACCACCAGCCATTTCAATTCCCATAATACCAATCACCTAATCAAAATCAATATCATCCTTTTATCACTAGTTATTTTTCCTAAGTAACTCACCATCGATAAACTTCGATCAACACATTGACACACGACCTCACCTGGAACCACATGATATTCGTTAAGAAGAGCTGAAGATAATACTTGAACATAATATAACAGTTCACAATATGTCAATGATTGTTCATCTAGTTCAACAGCTAGTTTTTGTGGATGTTTCATTACTTGATACACAAATTCATGATGAATACAAGTGAGTGGATATGAAAACGACATTTGTGTATTATTTAATGATTGCATTAGATATTGTTCATTTGATAATATTAATGATAGTTCATGAACAGGTTTGTTTGCTTTACACTGAAAAGGTGTAAATTGTTGATGTAACATTGTCTGTAATCTTTGTGAAATTGTAAAAACTGTCCCAGCATTAAATAAATCAAGTGAAGCATCGAATGTACATGAGAATTCATTTAGATTCAGATCATGTTGAAAACTAAGAATAAAATCAAATTTACTCATTATTTCGTCTTCACTTATCTTAATTGAATAAGGTCGTAAAGAAAGTCGACTATCACCAATCATTATTTCATTTGTCTCATCTTTTGTAATAGATGATACAAAGTCAAATGATGTATCAAGAAATACAGGATTTGATATATTAGGATGTTGGTTGAGAATACGTTGAAGAGGAAAATATGAATATTTCATACAGTTTATCATATTATCTTGAACATGCTTAGTGACTTTGTGAAATGATAAATGAGGATCTAGTAGACATCGTAAAGGTATAGCATTCACAAACATTCCAATGATAGATCTGAGTTCATCTCTATATCGACCATGTGTATTTATTCCAATGCATAAATCTTTTTCTCCATTCGTTAATTGAAACAAAAACACATAATAAGTAGCAAGTGCAAGATATTCCAGTGATATGTTATCTGATGATGCATGAGCAAGAAAGTGATGTGAGAGATCTTGACCAAAATCAAAAGAGATAGATGTTCCACGACCAGTTCGATATTCATTCACGAGACGATATCGATCAAATGGTAATGACAAAGGTTGATCAAGTTTACAGTCTTGAAGAGCATCAAGCCAAAACATGCTTGCACCAGCCATTGACATTTGTTGTTCAATAACAGCATCTGTTATGTAATTAAAGAAAAGAATGTATTAGGTAAAAGATAAGAACTAATTATATTTACAATCTAGATAACGTAGATTGGTGTTGTCATCATATAATAATTGACCTGTTGTATATGCTTGATTGAGATCGTGAAGAAATATGTTCATTGATGGAAAGTCAAACAAAGCATGATGAACATTGAGAATGACCATATCCTGATCAGAAAGTAGATAATTTGAAGAGATTTGTTTGTAATGAACAATATGACATCGAAAGACAAGACCTTGAGCAAGATCAAAAAGATGAGGATTACGTTTCTCCTCATGTAA